TATTATCTAAAATACTTCAATTTATTAGATGAGGGGACCGAGTTAAGAAAAATTGGCACTCAGTCACTTAGTTAATGATGACAGGTTTACAAAAACAAGATTTCAATCTAGATTTTCAGATTCAACTGTCAACTGATTTTAAAGCTTAAATTTTTAAGATGAGAATTAGACTAAGAAAAAACTTTTCTGACATTGTTCTTTAAACTGACATTTAAAACTTTACATTCCAAACATTTCAAGAAACTACATTTTACCATAGGATAATTGTACATGTATTTTTACTTCGCTTAGGGCTTTCCTAATCCACAGACCCTTTATTTTTCCAATTATGAATCACACCCAGGTGGTGAGATATGGAAATCTTGTGAATATATTGAAAGTCAGGATTTAATCATCTGTGTACTTGTGAACTATTCCAACATTAAATATATTTACGCCCACATTAGCTAATCTTATATAATTATCATGCTTAAGTTTCTCTTATAATTGAAGATTGTGATTCCTTTCCCCCATAAATGAATGTGAACTTAACATTATGGAAATTTCATGATAATGTATTTCTGCTTTAGTGTGTAATACTGTTACTACTCAACCACCTTCAAAAAAACTATATAGAAGAGAGACATTTATTAACAATTTGAGTAAATTAAATAAAAATATAAAAATATGATCTATAGCATGACCTTAAATATAAAATATAAACAAAAATGCATCGATGTAAGACCCTATATCAAAATGTTAACAGTATGAAATTATCTTTCCAAATACCAAATTTTCTACAGTGATCATGTATTTCACGGCAACAAAAATAATTTTATACAGATTGAAATGAAACTAAAAAACAAAAACGTGAAAATCTGATTTTCTAAATTGAATCAAAAACTGCTCTATTCTCCATTTATATGGATAAAATTAATATTTTATATATACAAATACATTTATAAATGTTATTGTGTACTTCTATAGAAGGCATTGTATGTTTTCTATGACCCCTTGACTCATCCATAAGTAACTGAACAATCTCATCAAGTTTCAAGTAGATGTGAAGGCTGAATGTTCATTGCTTTAATGCTAATGTAGTACCTGGCATTAAGAAATTTACTTACCATATGTTTTCCTTTTGCTTCCCAACTTCCTGTGCTGCTTTTCAAATTATGAAGAAAGTTTCTGGATCTTATTCAGCTTAAATCCAGCTGGAGATCATTTTCAAACTAATATGCAACTGACATGAACATTAAATTTATGAATTTTTTAAAAAGAAATATTCTGATGACTTCATTTATAGAGATCATTGCTTATCAAAAATTATAGGTCCCTTGGTTTTCCAAATTGCTGTTTCTTGTCTAATTTTGCCTGATAAAATAGTTTTTCAGGCACAGAAAGGTTTATTCTAAGAAATACTGTCAATATTACAGATATTTTCCATTATAACTAAATGAAATAAAAGAAAACCTATGAGAGAAACTAAAATTGGTACTTAACCTGGAATTTTGTCATGGTTCTCGAACATTTTAAAAAATTGATTTGCTGATACGTATTCTAATTTAAAGTATGTTTATAAATTTTACACAAGTACATGGTAATGACCAATTAAAAAATGGTCACCTATTTAAGAAAACTGTACACTTCTCAAATAAAAATGTGTGCACCTTGAAAAGCCTATGCAAAAAAAAAAAAAAAAAAGCAAGACAAAATTTCATGTGCCATAACTAAAAATGTATAGACATGCACTTCGACTTCGATGGATTCCCCAGGCATATTAGTAGTCAACTTTGAAATTATAAATTAAGCAGCATATTCATCACAAAGAGTACTTCAGTTTGGGTATCCACTGACATCTAGAACACCAAAAAATAGGATTCCTAAATACCTAGTTCAGTCTTCATTGCTTTCCCTATCAGTCTTCTCATTTCTAAGCTCCTACATTCAATTAACATGTATTCTTATATATCGTCTCTCCATACAATTTACTTTGCTTCTGGACATGGGCAAGTAAATATTAGCTCTTCCTCAGTGATGATGGCAGAGTAACAGTGTACATGAAGACAAGACAGGATATTCTGACTCCAGTAATTCTCTGTTCTGTTGTGCTTATAATCTTCTGATGGGCAGACTCTTCAGATGATCCTCGATGAGCCATATCTTCTTGTAGTCATGCTCTTGTATACTTTTTTCTTGGTTATGGACTGGACAAAATCACTTGGTTTCTCAATTGTCTTGTTAGCAATTAGGCTAACAAGGCTCTTTCTGGCAAGCTGCCTTGTGGTAAGGTGCCTCTCTAATGGAGAAGTCCATGTGGCAAAAAGCTGAAGGATGTCTCTCCCAAACAGTAAGGAACTGAGACCCTCATTCCACAGCCTGCAAGTAACACAAACTTGAGGAAGAACCTTTCCTACCCGAGCCTTCACTTGAGACCGTAGTCCTAGCTCAGTACTTCAACTGCAGTCCTATGGGAGACTCTGAAACAGAGGACCTAGTTAAGCCATGTCTGACTCCTAACCCACAAATATGGTGAGATAATTAGGTGGTGTTTTAAGAAGCTATGTCTGCGGTTGTTACAAGGAACAGGTGACTCAAATTTTGAGTTCGTAATTTACGGTTTTGTTTTTCTAGTTCTCAAGTTTGGCTCTTATGCAATTTACATTTTTTTAGCTTGCAATTCTATATTGAAAATTTCAGTCTTTTATCTCCTTGAACATAGTAAATAGTTTATTTCACAATACAAATTCTGGTACCCTCTTTGATCTACCTATTGTTTTCATTTGTTTTCATTTCTGTTGTCTTTTTCCTCCTTGACTCAGTTAGTCTATGCAGATATTTAATTTATAAAAGTGGTTGCAGAAATAATTAGAAGCCTAAGAGAATGTTCTCTTTCTTCAGATTTGCGTCTTTCAAATACCTAGAGGCACTGGAAATCTCAGGTCACCTTAATCAATTTTATAAATTTAAGATTTTTCAGAGCTGGGCCTCCCCAGTGGTGCAAGGGATTGAGCGCAGTGCTGTGAAGCTGTCCAGTCTCTGCAGCGCAGCTTCGATTCCCGGCTGGGCAGGGAGAAACCCACATGGCGCAGTAGACCTCTCCTGTCTTACCCGCTGCTCCCCTCAGCAGTGTTTTAGGTAGTTCTGCCTGTTCTGTCTCTGGTGAATTCTCTCACCCTCCCACACCTCTGGCCTATAACCCAGTTCTTGTATAAATAAATAAATAAATCTTAAAAAAAAAAAAAGATTTTTCAGAGCTAAATAGATGACTTCATGTGTAAATGGCATGTGAATGTTATAATCTAGTTTATCCTTACCCCTGGGATGTGGTCTTTTGGTCTCAAATCAGAGTCCCAACCTTGGAGATCCTGTACTCTAACTTTTGCCCTTCTGGTTTTAGAAGATCATTAAAACATAAATCATCCTCTCAGCCTCTTATTTGTTAGCAAAATTCCCCCATCGAGCAAAAAGCAGGACAATACAGGATCACTGTCTCGATTTCCACTTCTTCCAGATTATAGCTAACCGTGTTAGCGCTCTAATGCCTTCAAGTCAAGCTTGTTTTATTTAATCAGATGTTACAGCAGGAAAATTGGATTCAACAGTCTGCCATATTTGGAAGCAGAAGTTGAAGTGCTGGAGTTTTTTTTTGATGAGTTACCTCACAGCACTCTAGCAGTTCTATTTGAAACTCCATTTGGACAGCTTCTCTAGTCTGATAATGGCTCAAGTCTATAAGAGCACTCCAACATTCGTCTAGAGTGGGTAGTGTAGTGCGGTAGAAAACCCAATTTAGGCTAGAAAGGGAAACTACTTATGGTGTCCAAATATTCTCTGGTTGTCAATTCTGGTTCTATAAAAATGAATAAATTTCTTCCAATCTCACAAGGAAGCTGTCAAAACAAATCAGAACTCACTTAGTCCTTCATTTAGTAGAGCAGAAACAGAGGTTCCCAGATTTTGCCAGATAATTATATATAGCCTCCTCTAACTTAAAAACAAGATTTAATTATCTCAAATGAAATTAAATTCCTCCTAATATATCCTTACTAGGTTTTTTTTGGCGAGAAAACACATTTCAAAAGCCTAAAAATTAATTAAAAAGGTTGAATTCGGCGAGCAATTATTTATTCATTTATTTATTTATTCATTCATTCATTCATTCAAGAACCGGGGTATAGGCCAGATGCACAGGAGGGTGAGAGGATTCACCAGAGACAGAACAGGGAACAGAACAGGCAGACTGGCGAAACACACTGCTGAGGGGAGCAGTGGGCAAGACAGGAGAGGTCTGCTTGCCATGTGGGTGGTTGCTCCACGGCTGGTGGGATCAAACCAGCACTGCAGAGCAATAATAATAGTAATCTGGCCATTGGGCGGGGTGGGGGGGGTGTCACAAAATCAATGCCTCGAGGACAAAACTGTTAACAGAAATTAGCGAGGTAAGTCTAATCGGCAAGATTTTTGTTTTTTTTGGTAAAAAATGTTTCCTTCAATTGCAGAAACAACATGCAATCTACATAAATCAAGTAACTGCCTATTTTCCCAGTAAATCTTGCAGCTTTTCACCACTTCCATACAGTTCCATTCCCTACTCCTTCTGCTTTTGGAAAATGTCTTCGATCAATTACCAGCTCAAATGCAACTTGCTCCAATATGTGTTCCTAGGATTCATAGGGATCAGATAAATTTATGCCACTGTTTTATCATGGTAGCTTTGACTTTTATGATGAATTACTAGAGAATATGGAGTGAAACCACTTGAACTCAAACCCTAGCACTCTTTAATTACATGATCTTCAATAAATTGAGTTTTATTTGCCTTGTTTGTTAACAAGACAGGGAATAGTAGCTAGCTCACAGAATCATTATAATTAAATGAACTAGTGTGTGTGTGTGTATGTATATATATATATACACACATTTGTATATATACAATTGTATATATACATTTGTATGTGTATATATGTGTGAGTGTATATATATATATATATATACACATATACACACACACACACACATATATATATACACAAACATATATATACACACAAACACATTTAGACCAAGCTCTAGAATATAGTGTTATATTAAGTTCTGACCTATAGGCATAGGTATGTATATGTGGAATGTATGTGTTCTCCATTTGTAATTAGAGCGTTGTTACAAGAGAATGAAACCGGTGCTATCATAGAGGTACACATATTCAAAGGATGGGGTAATTAAATATAATCAGCTTAGAAAAAGAAATGGTATTTCAACTGAACCTACATATTTTAATTACATAGTATTTTAAAAGCACTTTCACAAATACTAACTCTTACAATTAATTTCCTGAGATGATTTTGTTTTATGGAAGCAGAAATCAAGGGAGGTAACTCAAATTCTTCTCTTAAATTAGAAAGTGAGAGCCAAGATTAGTAATAATTTACCTGAAGCTTGGTACATGTATGCTTTATACATCTCCATCTTCCCATGACAGATAAATGAGAATACAACAGACAGGTCAGAATAGACACAACCAAGGATAGAAAACTGTATCCCAAACTTTGTAAACAGGTTAAAAAAAGAATGAAGTGAAATTGCATGGCATTCTGGGAGAAACACAGCAGTAGACTATTATAAAACAGAACAATGCCTTGCAAAGCAAGCACTTAACTGAGCAGAGGTATATTTTTCAAATGATATTCCTTCAGTTTCACAATCATTTTTGGCAAATAACCTGCAGGCTTCTAGGAAAGCATGGAAGGAAGGGGAGAGGGAGGGAGGGAGAATAACAATTATTCATCACATAACTACTGTACATAATGGATATTTAAATATTCACAATAGGAGACAATATAAAATAAGAAATGTTAAGCATGATCACACAAAAATAATTTTTTCTCATTAAAAATGTTCTGAATGAGTCTTAATTCTCAATAAGATTATTTTGTCAACTGACAACTGATTTTGAAACACAGCAAAACTAGTTTTGTAATCCTTGGGATAGAGAAAATAGCACTAACTGAAATATGTTAGTATTTCTTGTAAGTGCTAATAATCTAAGTTGCATAAAATTCATCTGTTTCATTACTAATCATCCGTGAAAATGTGGAAATGTCATAACTCCTCTGGACTGGTTCCCACATGTGTAAAATACTATTAATGTTTTAAAGGGGTTTGCACAGACAAAATTATACCATGTTATTAATAAAAAAATAAGGAAACTAAAACATCTACATATTCTTAAGCATTTGAATTATTTTCCATGTTACTTTTACAATCACGTGCAATTAATGACAGATATTGCAGACAGCTCAATTGATATCATCAGTCGTGTATGAATAAAGTGTTTAAATCAACATACTTTATCTACAACAAAACCTCAATTTTATAAATTGTTTATTTTGAACAAAATGAGGTCTAATCCTAGGTTAACATGAGAAATCTTCACCTTAAAATATCAAAAACATTTAATATTTGACAGTGTAAGCCCCATCATCAAAATTCCTTTTACTGTCCCTTCAGTGAAATTAATCAGAGTGCTGAATGAAATGCCATTCCTTACTCTTCCAACAGCTGTGATATGTCTTCTTTTGGTCTATTCAGAAGAAAGTCAACTATCTGAAGTAGAACATCATCATTAAAACCTTTCACATCATTGTCTTCAATTGTTTCATAAAGAGGCTTACTTTGTGTCCCCCAACATATATTTTTACGAGAGTTATTCTGATCAGCTTGGGTAGTCAGCGCCAAGGTATTTAACTGGTAGCAGAAAAAGGAAAAGTATTTTCCATCTGTGATCACACCCTGGGAGACAAAAGGACGAGTAACATCTGCTTGGCTCCAGAAACCTGCAGAAGAAAGTGGTACTAAAATTTACACACTAGGACCACCCTGGAGGCACAAAGTAAGTTAAAGTCTCAGTGCTATGAAGCCACTGTGGCATAAGGTCACACCCCGGCCAGGAACCACATGGCGCAGCAGACCTCTCCTGTCTGGTCCGCTGCTCCCCTCAGCAGTGTATTTTAGTAAATCTGCCTGTTCTGTTCCCCACTCTGTCTCTGGTGAATCCTCTCATCCCCCACACCTCTGGCCTGTATCCCAGTTCTTCTTTGCATAAATAAATAAAAATAAATCTTTAAAAGAAGAAAAAAATTTTAGATTCTATTACATTTATTAACAAAAGAAACATATAGAAGGTATCAAATACTTCCTAAAACCTAGATATTTTACATACCAAAGTTTTCCCGATCTTTTCCCTTCCAATCTTATATTCCATTTCTACAACAAAAATATTTCCTCCCTTGTTGCAGCCCCCAAATCATGAAGGGTTTTTTTTTCCACAGCTCTGTCCTTCCACAGCTTTCAACCTATCCCCCTTCATCCAAAAAGAGCAGTAAGCTCTATTTTTGCAAATCACTCCTTCATCTGGCACTTACTACATAATTATTCACTGGCTTCCAATATATTCAAATTTTCCCCATACCAGCAGCATCTTCCACCTGATAACCATTTTGGCCATTTACATCACCAAATCTGCACACACACAAAATGCCTCCAGGAAATAGACTAAGAACTGAAAAAAACATGTCCTTAGTTAAATTTACATATTTCAATATTGATTTTATGCGTGGCTGTCATTTTGCCTAACATGTCTTATGTCACCATAAGGTTCCTGGAAACCTTAATTAGTACCTTCACTACTCAAAATTGCAGATTGCTTCTTGTTCCAGACTGGCTGGCTTTAATACTTTTAAATCCAACTGCCAGGACAAAGCAGAAACTGGATTTCCTCACATGTATTTTATATCAACCTTGATGAATGATAGCCAGTGAATAATATTGCTAAAACATGGACTTAAATTATTGTTAAAAAAAAAAAAAAAGGATTTCTATCTTTCTTGAAGAAACAATGCCACTCTAACACCTTCAAGGAAAGTTTCCGTGCACCTTTTCTGATTCTGTCTATTCCTATTTCTATTCTGTCTAATTATTTGTATGAAGTCAACAATTGGAAGGATAAAGTTTAAAACAGGAATATAAAAGGAAAAGGTGAACTTGACAATTAAATCTCTATTAGAATTCCTCCTGGATATTTATATAGGATTAATCTAACTACATATATTACTTTAGGTTTTCTAATAAACTACAAATGCTTTATAATGAGCTCCTAAAGTCCTATGAGGTAGGGTCTCTACCTTCCTCTGTATCACTTCCCATCATTCTGTACCCTTTCTTCCTTAGCATTTATGTTGTTCTTTAAACATACTGAGTCTTCTCTCACCTTAGAGACTTTCACCTGAAATTTCTTTTGCCTGGCAGTGTCTTTACCCAAGTTTGTGTATAGGTAGCTTACCATTCAGGACTCTGTTCAAATGTAATATTTTTATAGATCTCCCCTAAATTATTGTAATAGATCCTGCCCCATGCTTCATTTATATCCTTAATCTATAAATCATTCTACTCTAGTAAATGCTCTAGCTAAAAATAGTACATTTATCATCTTTACTCTCCTCATTGTAAGTTTGAGGAGGGCAGGATCCGCCTGGCTCATCCAATACTATGTCTCTGAGGCCAACAGTATCTTGTACATAAAAAGCATTCAAAAGTTGGTTAGCATTACAATCTATTAATCTCCATCCTGGATATGATCTTTGAAGAGGTTACATAGGACAACTGTGACTCAATCTAAAATTTACTCCACCAAATAATTTCCTTTTATAGCTTCAGAAACTGCTATCCTTTAGTTGACTTTGTTGGCTATAGTCTATGAAATGATTGAAGATGTTATGAGAAAAAAACACACATGCAGAGATGGTTAAAAGAATATGTAAAATAACTACCTAATTGCTACTTGCCAACTTCAAATGTAAAGTACTTAATTACTGATTTTAAACCAATTGTATTTAATGCCACTGCAAAAGTTTACAGCATCTTAACATTCAGCCTACATTTTCACCTAAAGCAAACAATTTGAACCATATAAATTCCTAAAAAAATGTCACCGATATCATTCAAGAATAATACCGTAAGATTATTCTTACCTTGATACATAGCTTGTGCTCCAGTCCAAGCAAAAAGGCTTGCAATAGCATTCGCTCTAAAAACCACCTCTATCTGATCAGCACAGTTCTGTTTCAAAAGTCTTTCCCTTTTATATTTGTCAGGTAACAGATGAAACTGGGTATGACCATAACAGTGTGGATCTGCTGTCTTTGAGCCTGAAGAGCAAAGGAAAAAAATTTCAGATGAAATGTACATATAGAATATCTTGAGCACATATCTTTAGTATTTGCTTCAACCCCATCTTCCTTCTTTACAAATCATATGATCTGTGTTCAAAATACACAGATGGAAAAATTGGCTTAATTATTTTATTCATAAGTCACATTTCACCTGAAAATAAAATCAGCTAGCTATCAAGTTCACTGAAAGAGAAAATAGAAAGAAAATACTACATAAAATTTATTTTAAATTTCCTATTTATTGATTTAAAACCCGTTAGTCATCAGTATCAGCTTTATTATTTTCCATCATTCACCAAAAAATACAAATACTTCATGACTTCAAAAAAATTCCTCAAAATTTTAATGTAATAAAATTATGTAGCTTATTCCTATTAGAGAATTGATTTTTATACTATTTCTAAGTAAAGAAGGACCAATATTTCATAAATTGGTGACATTCTTAACGATAGTGGTAAAGTCTTTTCAACCAAAAGTTCCCCCAAATTCAATCTCTGAAATTACAATGACCGAAAAGGGATTGATAATAAAATAGACCTGGAGGACTATTATAAGGCTTTCTTAAAATCTTCCTCTAATTGGCTAGCATAATAACTGAAGAAAAATAGCAAAAGAATGAGATGCATGAGTAAGACATCAAGTCTTATTAATTTCTGTATTACTAGTGGTTATCAGAGTGTGTAGCATAACAGGAAATGTCTGCAAATATCAATCACCTCCTAAAATCCAACTCTGTACTTGTTTACTTTTGAAAAAACACTACACTTTTTATATAAATCAACAAAGCATACCAATCAGCACACTGATAAGCTTATCAATAAGTGTAACTATATTTTAAAGTTAAATATTGCTAACAGTACAAACAAGTAATATTTTAAAACAGTAAGTTGAAGGAATATTTTTTCTGCCACTTTTCATGTACTTTGCAACTAACATTACATTGTTAGTGAACTATCTGAACCTCTGGATCTGGACCAAGTATTATGAAACTATGCACAGCATACTTCAAACACATTTTTAGCATCCAAAGAGAAACTTACCAATAAATATGGTATTTTCATATTGCTTTTGAATAATGGAAGTTTGTCTGGCTTACAACTCATAACTGGGATCTCTACAGGAACAGAATAATCCAGTGGCACAAACTTGAAAAAGAAGTCATAAGTGAATTCACAGTAATACTAGAGTATGTGTTTTCTTTATTCTTAATAGATTTGTAATCTCCAAATGAGATGTTTTTACAAAATGATTGGATAACATTATTATTTAATGATGTGCTAAATCCAGGCAGCACATGACTGGATAAATAAAGTTTTATTGGAACAGTCATTCACATTCATTTACATCTTATGCATGGCTGCTTTTACACTGTTGAGAATTAAGCTGAACAGAAGCAACAGAGACTTCGTGTCCGCAAAGACTAAAATATTTACTATCCAGACCTTTACAGAAAAAAATGTGTCAACCTCTGAAATGGACAAAAGGAAAATACCCAAAGAAATGCAAATATGCAAAATGTCTAGCTTTTAACAGTGAAAATGCCTTGACTTATGATTAGGTAGTACATGTAGTCTACAGTAAATTATACATTATTAATCAGTGTCTTTATATCAAGAAAAGGAAAAGATCTATATGGTCTTGAAAGCTGATGCCTCAACGCAAGTTAAAATGATTATTTGATGTTGGCACAATATATGTATCAGGTTAAATCTAAAAAAGAAATTCAGATGAGATGTATTCAAAGAGCAAGGGACCCATCCCAAAACGTTATATGCTACCAAAAGCCTTTCACCATGTTAGGAGATATACATGCCAACGGCTTACCTCTGGAAGCTGCTTGGATATCCGAATCTGGTTGTGTGGTTTATCATTTATTTGGTATCGCAAAGCATCAACTCGACCTTTCCGATGACCACAAGGAATAATTTCCTCACCCCGCATCCAGTAAAAGTGAACTGGGCGTTTATTATCTGTAAAAAGACATATTTTTCTCATCCAATCATTTCGATAAATTTGGTTATTATTATAATTCTCAATAATACTAAATAGTAATTAATAAATACTGTTGCTAAATATTAACTTGCAATACATAACTTAAGAATGTGTCGAATTAAAAACATACCGAAAATTACACTTAATTTACACATATATAAGATTAAGTCTAGATCATGGGACAATTTAACTTAAGTGATCATGACTTAACTATAACGTTCAAATACTTACTATTTGTGCCATCAATACACTATATGCTGTTACCAAAAAATTTTCTCAGTTAAGAATAAACATTAAAAAAAAAAAGGACCAACTTGAGTATCATCATAAATAGGAAGCTTACTAGATGTCAGAACTGTCTTATGAACTACTAATCAATTTCACAATAATCCTCAAAGGTAGGTATAGTTATCATCTCTGCATTTTATGGAAGAGGAACCTGGGACTTGACAAAGTTTTCTTAGGCCATCAATCTTGAGTACTCAAAGTCTATGATGGTGCTTGGTCAAGACCACTTCCCAACTAAGAAGTAACATGTACGCCACATAATTCCAACATTAAGATACCTACTAGGTGGTAGATATAAAATGACATCAGAAATACTGATTTTTTTCAACTAGCCACCAATTATTTTTTCATATCTACACCCAACAATTAAATAGAAGTTGCCCATTTGTTTACTACAAACCCAGAATGGCTGGGTTTGAATCCTGACCTCTAAATCTGCCAGTTACAGGCTCTGTCCCTAGGCACATTTTACGTTTCGGTGCCTGTTTCTGTTTTTAATAAAACAGTGGTACCTACTGTAATCAATTATTGTGAGAAATAAATTAGCTGGCACATGCAGAAATTGTTACAGGGTCACGCACATAGTAAGTACTAAGTATTTTAATCAATATCGCATTTAATCTTCACAGTCCTTTGGCAAAGTACTACTATTGCAATTGTCATCTCGAAAATGAGAAAAATTAGGCGGCTAAAAGAAGTTAATGAATTGACAACCATCACCTAATTCTTTGACGGAAGAGCCAAACGACAACAGCCTCAGGACTGCCCTTAACTAACCAGCTCCTTAACTAACAATGCTCTAGAGTCCTACAGACCTTAGGCTGCTAGTCTGGGAGTTGCATAGTTAGCCGGTGGCAATGCAGGTAGGAGACCCCTGTCTCCCACTTCCAGGCTGCCTCCAGGTTGGAATGAACAAACGAGGAAGACACTAACAAGTCAGAGAGAAATGAAAAGAGAGCAAATATCCTGAGGAGTGCACCTTTCAGGCCCCACCTCTCCCGCTAGGGCTAGCGGGGCCGAGGCTCACCGAGGACCGCGGCAGCCAGGACCGGGTTGTGCGGGCTGAGCAGGCCCACGAGGGCGGCCACCAGCTGATCCAGGAAGGGCGAGGCGATCGCCTCACGCTCCTGGTAAATGGGCGCCCGCCGCTTGCGCCGCAGGAAGAAGTGCTCCTGCAGAAGGCATTCACAGGCCACCGCACGGAGGGCCCCCAGGTCCAGGGCAGGCGCAGGCGCCGGCTGGGCGGGCGGCGGGGGCAGACCAGACAGGAACACGGTCTTGGTGAAGCCCTGATACCAGCGGTCGGCATTCAGAGAGAAGGTCTGCGGGTAAACCATGTACTTCTTGAACTGCATCTTGGTGAGGATGTGCAGCTTCTCGTCCACCGACTCGGCCGCGTGTACCGCCGCCTGCCATCGCTCCACTCGCCGCTGTCGTGCAGCCTTGCTCTTTGCAGTCATGGAGGCCACAATCGGCGGGTAGCGCGCTAAGGGGGCCACTGCCACATCCGGAGTCCTGGCCGCGGCCTCGGCCGCCGTGTGCAGTGACAGCCCCGGGCCGCGGAACACAAGCCTCCCGCACCTGGCCGCCGCCATTTTTGCCCGGGGTCAGATCCAGAGGTCAATTTCGGCTAGTCTCCGCCCTCTTGTTGAGGACCAATCAGAGCGCGGAATAGGAGCGAAACCTAGGGAGCCGGAGTCTCATTGGGTTTGAGAGATTCTGCGTCGTCTATCTTGTAGCCAATCAGATCGCTTCTCCGACTTAGGTGTTCCTGGTCCGGGGCGGATATAGGCGGAAGGAAAAACTCCTTCGCTGATAGGTTGTCCGCTGGTCTGGCGGGTAGCAATGAAATCGTTACACAGGAGATGCTGCCAACCTAAGTTGCTTTTCGGACTAGGATAGCCTTACCAGAAACCATTTAGAATGATTCTGCACTGAAACGCAGACGTTGGATTTAATGGTTCATTTACGTATATGGCACCCCACTTCCTAGTTCTCGGGATTGAAACTTAACTATACTGTTCTAGCATGTAGATAATACAAGCTTTTTTATATATGATGCAAGCATCCTTCACAGATGACCATTACGAATGTCTGGGAATATAATTCCATATATGTTTCTATGTTGATTAATATAGGTGGCTATTTTAATGGTAGAATTTATCAAAAGAGGAACGTTTACTCTGCATTAACTGAAAAAAGGAGTAACAAAACTGAAAAACTGACATATTGTGCTTAAATTTTGCTTTTTGTTAAAACTCATTATTTTAGCATCACTTGATTCCTACTAATCTGTGTGCTTCTTAAAGCAGGGACTATTTTATTTTTGAATCTTAAGCAACCAATCAGCAGCTGTGCAATAATGGGTGTTCACTAATATATGCTGAAAAAAAAGTAACCTAAATGATTAAAATCCTAAAGTCACCTCTGATGAGTTGGATAATATTCCCAACACCATCCTCTATTCTATACCTACTCCAATCCCCATTGTATACAACCCTTAGTATATATACGTAACCACTTAGACATATATATACATACTATAAAGTATTACTGGGGGTGAGAAAGGGTGTGTGTATAAGAGACAGAGAAGGAGGATTTCTGATGACGGATTTAGAATCAACGGGAAGGAAGCTAAGTGTCTTCTTCATCACATGCCCAGTACTATATTGAAGTGCTTTGTATGTATTAATCAGCTCCCATAATCCCACAACCACTTTCCAGACACAATATTATCCTCCCTCCTGTTTTTTGTTTTTTTTTTGCAAAATCAGAGTGCTTACTCATCAACAGATGAAGAGTAGTTAAAAACAATTTTGAGAAAGAAAAATAAAGTGGATTAGTTTACCTGTTTTCAAGATTTACTGTATAGTTACAGTAATCAATGGAGAAAAGATAGCCTTTTTGACAAATGCCGGAATAATTGGACAACAATAGGTCAAAAAACAAGACAAATCTTCACCTAACTCTTAGATTTTCTGGGGGAAAAAATAACAGAAAGCTGATCACAGACTTGAATGTAAATATAAAATTATTAGGAAAAAAACCTGTCATTTTTAGGGCTAACCAGAGTCCTTATGTAACAGGGTGGTCCCCAGGAAAGGGGGAGGTTCCACGTTCCCTGCCCCACCCAAGGAAGGGTGGAGCTGAGCAGGAGGAGAAGCGGCAGAAGAGACTAAGGAAGGAAGCAGGATGGAGCCAGAAGGAGACCTGGAGGAGGTGCATGGAGCCTAGAGACACGTGAAGAAACTGCGCTTGTCTTTTGGTCGTGGACTGGGTGACACAGATGTGGGTGAGACCTGTGGGGAGGTGACAATGGCAGCTTTTATCTTGATGTTGATTTTGCTCTTTTCCTTCTGGACTTGTCCGGTTGTTTGTGACCCTTTTCTGTGGGTCCCCACTGGAAGATGCTTTAGACTTTTAGCAGGCTTTGGGGCCTTGTTCTGGGCCGATCCCATATGGATGGACTTTTACCCACGAGGGGACGGGTAACTTTGGGTGCTTCATTTAGAAACTAGATTCTTTGCCTTTCCTGTATTGTTTCCTAATTAAAGTTCCTTCCCATTAAAGTCTCATATGTTTTGTGTTGATGCGGCGGATGGCAGAACCCATTTAGAACAGGCAGGTTTGCGGGGTTTGGGCTGCCCCTCTCCCTGTCCTATAACACTTAAAGTTAACACCAAAAGTATCCACGAAACAAAAACTTGGTAACCTGGACATCAATAAAACAGAAATTATCCTCTGCAAAACACCATGTTAAAGAATGAAAAACATTAGCCACAGAGTGCAAGAAAATAACTGTAAGCCATATCACTAAGAAATAACACATAGAACATATAAAGTAATACTCTCAAACTCAGTAGTAAATAAAACAATCCAATTAAAAATGGACAGAGAATAGCAGGGACTATGCAGATGGTAAATCAGCATGTGAAAGGACAGTCAATGTCATTAATCATAAAGGAAATGCAAATCAAAACCAAAATGAGATTTTCATTACACAACTAGCCAAGTGGCTAAAAAAGAAAGAAATGCTAAATGCTGGTTAGGAGAAATTGGATCACTAATACATTGTGGTGAGAATGTAAAGTGGATGGTGTAGTGACCCCGAAAATTGATTGACATTTTCGTAAAAAAAAAAAAAAAAAAAAAAAAGCCACAGAACCACCATATCGCCCAGGAATTGTACTCTTGGGGCTTTCATCTTAGAGGAGTGAAAATATCTTTTCACACATAAAACTATAGTACATGATTTAGCGTTGTTCTTTAGAACCAAAAATTGAAAACTAAACAGATGTCTTTCAATGGTGCATGGTTAAACAATCTATGGTACTTTCATAGCACAGGATACTCTAAACATAAAAAGGAAAGACCTGTTGATGCATGTAGCAACCCGGATGCATCTCAAAAGCAGTAAAAAATAAAATAAGAACAGGTTTTTATTTTTAAAAAGTTAATCACCAAAAGTTATATACTATATGATCCATTTAGATAATATACTTGAGGTGACAAAGCTATAGAAATGGAGATCAGATTAGTGGTTGGCAGACATTAAGGAGTCAGTGGAAAAGGAGGGAAGAGGAAGTAGTTCTAAAAGGTCAACAGCAGGCACCCTTTTGGTGAGGGAAATGTTCCTTGTCTCCTATCAATGTCAATATCCTGAATTATTTTACTATAATTTTGCAAGATGTTACAGGGTAAACTTTGCCAATTTCTCTACTTATTATTTCTTGCATTTGCTTGTGAGTCTATAATTATCTTAAGATAAAAATTTAAATAAAAAAGTAAAAGCAAATGAGGTAGAATTCTTGAACTAAGGTTTGTTCTTTACTTTGACTTAAATAAGCTTTAGTAATCTGGCATCTGTAGCTGGCACAACCCAGTGATTCCATGTGTAAAGATATTCTTCATTGTTTCTAGAGTAATTGTACTTGATTATTTTATATTCCAATGTAAATTATTAAATTGCTAGTCTTTTATTTCTCCTTGCTTAGGAGTGAGGTATCATATAGATATATGTACATTGTTTGAATTCATGGGTTCAGGTAGGTTATCTGTAAATTTTATTTCAGGATAATAAAGGGGATGTTATAAAATACTGTTACCAAAAAAGGCATTAGGCCTGATAGCATTAAGACCTTTAGCGTAGATAATTTATATTAAGAGTTAAACAGAAGAAAATTTGAAGATGAAAGTTATTTCCCACAGGCAGATCCAACATATAATAACTTAATATGTAACCATGGAAGCATGTTCTTTGTCTTCCCTAAATTTCCTGTGCTGATTTGAAAGCTCTTATTCTGAGACTCAGAACTGGCTCTGCCACTTTTTTTAACTTAGATGAAACTAGATTAATAATTCCCACTTTACCAGTTTGTTATGGAGATTTAATAAGCTGACATGTACAAAAAATATGCAAACTAATAGTTGATGCATATCAAATACTTTACATGTGCCCCTGGTTTTAATTCCCTTATAAGCAAACTTAGTATCAGAGCACATGGTACTGTTTTCCTGAGATGTTAACAGTGCCATCTGGCACAGATGTTATAAGTGCCAGAACCAGGGGACTCCCTGGTGGCGCAAGGGGTTAAAGTCTCAGAGCTATCAAGCTATAGGCAGCCACTGCAGCAGGAGTTCCATCCCCAGGCAGGAAGATGACCAACATGGTGCAGCAGACCTCTCCTGTCTCTCAGTCGATCCACCTGTTCTGCCTCTCACTTTCAGCCCCCACACCTCTGGCCTACACCCCAGATCCTGTATGAATAAATCTTTAAAAAAATAGTAAGTTCAGAACCAGCACAAACCATCAGTGCCTTGAAACTTAGAACTGTGGCTCCTGTAGAAATCCAGACATTCTTAAAAGGCAGTAAGTCAACTTCTTAAGATTGCATGCACAATTTAGTAATCATAGGAAATTGGGATAATATAAAATATATCTATAGCTACCTAGTAGAAAACATTTCAGAACCTCACATGTTCTTTTGACTGTCCCAAAAATAAGTACCATCAGGAAAACTGAAATATTTTCTCTTGGCCTCAAACATCAAAGACACAAGGGTAATAGTACAGGATAACAGGTCAGGCAGAAATACAAATTTCCTGAGGTATAGAACACACGAAATCATGGTGCCATGCTTAGGACTAGTATTGATATTATACCGAAGGAAAACAAGTTAACTCAAAATGGCATAGATTGTGTAGACAAATGGAGAAGGTCAACAGCAAGGTCAGCAAATACTTCTCTATTTTATTTATTTTTTGCTCTCAAGAAATAAGAGCACTTTAATTTTCAGGAGATAATCCTCCAAAGGGAGGGAAGAACCCTGAGGCATTAGTGTCCTATATACCAGCCAGAGAAAATGCAGTAATGGCAAAGGAAAATTCATTAAATGAAAAATAATATTTGGAACCAGTTTTTATAGCCCTCTTAAATATCATAATGTTGTAGAACATTTCTACAGATATTAAGATTACTTGAGTAGGAAAAAAAAAACCCACAAAACCTATCAAATTACACAGCAAAATTTTCACACTGGTGTACCACCAAATATCTGATGGATATTTCACATCATTATCATACACAATGAGCTTTCATGAT